GCTAAAATTCCACCTACCTTCACACTACTGAGCTAAAATTCCATCTACCTTTCCACTACTGAGCTAAAATTCCACCTACCTTCACACTACTGAGCTAAAATTCCATCTACCTTTCCACTACTGAGCTAAAATTCCACCTACCTTCACACTCCTGAGCTAAAATTCCACCTACCTTTCCACTACTGAGCTAAAATTCCACCTACCTTCACACTCCTGAGCTAAAATTCCACCTACCTTCAAACATATCAAAAGCAGATACCCACAGATCAGTCAAGCATGCTGTAGAAATCTTGTAGCGATAGTCCAAGCCGTCTAGGGGCTAGCCCCGCTGACGTTATCAGGTAGGTAGTAGATGGAAAAGTTGCCATCTAGAAATTTTTTAATTCTCATACTAGAAATGTTAGCGACTTTTTTAGTGTATTATTATGAGTATATATGTGCATAATATATCGTAAACAATACTTTGAATGGTCAGTTTTTCACTTAAGAATTTAATAGGTGGTTTGTTGGCACGTGATTTATTTGGAAGCCTTGTCAATCCCTACTATTAGGTACTACTGTACTTAACAATGATACTGTTCAAGAAACTAGTTGGGCAATCTGTTCTTATTCTTAAAACATATTTGATAAAAGAAGAAAAATATAAGTTTGCAACACTGAAGTTATAAACCTTTAAAATGTCACGTTTATTTTTACTTAAACTCATGATTTGCTATTACTACTTTCTTATTATCACTAACTTCTAGTTGATCAAAAACTAATCTACAAAGATTAGAACTAAAAATTAACATAGTAATTGATAATTTTAATATATCATTCTAATTAGGTGTCTTAAATCTCATACAGTAAAAACTTATATCAGAATGTGGCCCAGCATGGCCAGGTGGTTTGGGCACTCGACTCTCAATCTGAGGGTCATGGGTTCAAATCCATGTCCCACCAAACATGATCGCCGTTTCAGCTGTGGGGGCATTATAATGTTACGGTCAATGACTAGCTGCCTTTCCTCTAGTCTTACACTGCTAAATTAGGTACGACTAGCACAGATAGCCCTCGTGTAGCTTTGCATGAAATTCAAAAATAAAACAAACAATATATCAGAATGCATTGATTCATAAGTTGGGTGTCCTCACTATTAATAACACTTTTGGTTATAATCCCAATAATATTTCATATGATTTCTATATGATCTATATGATTTCATATAGACTAGTCCTAAATCCAATTATTGAACCAACAATGCAAAATAATCTTAATAATAAATAGTATATAAGTAAATAAAATTAAATATATAATGTATACTAAACATTTTAACCAATACTGTAATGTAACTATCACACACACAAAAAAAAAACTGCATACATTTCTGTCATTGTAGTGATTTATACTGGTATTAATAAGTTTTATTGATCAGTGTTGATTTTATGAATGAATGACTATAGGAACAAAATATTTCTTCAACTTATTGACAATTATAATTATTCTTTGAGCTTGAAGATCAGTTCAAACTTACCAGTGAAAGTAGTTTATTTATAATTGTGCTTACTTGTGTAAAAAATTCTGCTGGCTCCTGTAATTCGAAGATCATTTTTGTCTCCATCATTTCAAGCCTTTCCAACAGAGAAAATTTTAACACGCGCTCTAGACATGAAAAGGAATAACATAATTCATACCATGGTAATATTTGATAGAGTACACCAGGCACTGTCAATATTTCTACAAATCTTTAGAAAAATAAATAGCTTATTATGAAGTTTTTCATAAGATTTTGTTTTTACTATAAAAACATTTTAAATAAAAAATTTTTCTTAGATTTTAAGGATAAAAAAACAGTGTATAAATGACAAAAATAACTTGCTACACAAAATATTAGTTGTAATTATGGAGATTTTTACTGCCGTAATATAGTAATGTTTGCTATAAATATATAACAGAACTGGTGGTGTTGCTAGTTAATAAGCTATAATAAGTTTTTATAAATTGAAAGAAAATAAATTTTTGGTACAATGACAGATTTGTTTATCATTTAACATTACCTTAAAATTTATGTAAAGTGGTTAGAGCATCCATATTCGGGATCACAGGTTTGGGGGGCTCGATTCTTGGTAATTCCACAAAAAACTTTGTGGTTGTGATGCATATAAAAATGTCTGATATAACACCTGACCACAGCTGGAGAATTCACTGGTCGAAATGTTGTGAAAATAATAATACACATAATAAAGATGAGAATAATAGTCCGAATAATTATACCGTTAGTAATACGGACACCTCATCTCAACATTCTGCAAAACTATATATTTTTATATGTTATCAAAAACGTTACTGTGTTGGAAATATCTCGTATGTTTCACTTTATTTACCAACTGACCAAAAAATATAAATTCACCATATTTTATGTGTTTAATTTCTATTTTCTGAGATAAATTTGTACATTATCATACGTGGTAATGTGAGATAGCAAATTCTACTTGAACTTTATGTTTCAGTTTTAACTTTCATTTTTTATTTCTTCTATCATTTAGTTAAATTATTTTGTTATATTAAAATGCTAACTCACCTAGCCAGAGCACATTGAATTTGAGTATATTTGTGTCATGAAACTTACACAAGCTTCCCCTAGTGGTGAAGTACATTTATTAATGTTGTGAAAAATTATGTAAATTAGCTAGTCACATGAGATGTAATCTCATGGTCTCACCACTAAATAAAACCCTTCCTTGATCTTCAACAAGTTGGTTCACGATTTATAGTTAGAACGAATTACTGATGGTTGTTGCTCGATATTGTTATTTTTCTTGAGAAGTGGTTTAATTTTGGAATATTGTGTATTTTGGAATTTAGGTTTTTTCTTCTTCTGATTCTTTTTCCCAATTAATTTATTTATTGAATTTAATAACACTGATATTTATGTTGTATTGCTTATTAATGTTTGTATCAAGTCCTGGCCAGGCACGGATTTACTAACTATTTTTTTTTTGTATGTGATAAAAGTTGTATTCCAATTGTTTGAAAGTTTTATTTTGAATTTCTGTTGTTGTTACAGTTTAACAAATTGTTTTTTGTTCGACCCTGGTGGTAGTGGCACTTTGTTTCATTCTGTTACAATATTAAACAAAAATAAATTAAATTAAATTTCCATCATGTAATAAATGAGGATTTGTTATTGAACCTTAAGATTTCTCCTACTTAGTCTTCCAGAGTTTGTAAACCTCTGATTAAATTTTAAATCATATTACTTGGTGAAAAAACTATATTTTTAGTATTTTATTGAAAAATACTCATTCCTCACAAGAATGGCTCTAAGTAATATAAAGGGTTAAATATATATTATGAAGCATATTAAATTTCCATCAATTAATGATGTGATATATAGGCATACCATTGTGAAATTATACATACCAGGTGAGAGTAAACCAACCAAGATTTTTTCTACTGGCAGGTCAGGTGATCCTTTGAGGTTATAATCGCCATTATTTTTAAGTGGGGAATAATCAACAGTCACATGAGAAACACATGTGCTTTGAGAGGAATATTGTTATTATTTTGTGTACATAATGGTATATTTTCTCAGTCTGGAACAACTTCTTAACACAAACTTTTTGACATATATATATATATACAGAGGGCTCTTTTCAATAAAGGCACCATTCTTTGTGCATACACACTTTTAATTGGTTTGTGGTTTAAATAAACATTTGTTCATTTTGTTAAATAATGCATACAGTCTCTTTCATTCCTTCTAGCTCAGTTAAAGTCAGATAATTCATACTCTCTTCTTCATACATCTTATTTTGGACCTCCCATTATTCTGTGGAACCTATCTGATCATTCTTAGTGGAAATCAGAGCAACCAAACAAACAATGATCAGTTAACTATGACCAGTTAACTATGACCAGTTAACTATGATCAGTTAACTATGACCAGTTAACTATGACCAGTTAACTATGATCAGTTAACTATGACCAGTTAACTATGATCAGTTAAGTATGATCAGCAAGTTTCAGCAAATCAGATCTTTTAATTCCAGAATTAGGTTAGTACAAGGAATTTAATGAATGTTTTATCTTTCAACTAGAAAGCAAAATCTCAAGAGGGCACAATATCATGTTCTACAGCCTTAACCAACCTTCTTCAATAAAACAGCCTAAAGATGAGCAATCTTTTTCATCTTTAAAGTTCCACCATTTTGATGCTCCATACAACAACTTACAGGGGCTGTAAGTGTTACGTGTTATCATAACAAAGTTTCCTAAAAGTTACAATGCACCACATGTGAAAAACACTAACTGTTGCATCACTTATTGAAATACAGCTACTGGCACAGGTGGAGAAACTATTACAGACATGTATGAAGGACTCGTTAACAATCATGAGAACATTAAAAGATGACCCATAAAACTTTCTTGTTGTAAACAAAAACTCTACACAATGTTAAAGCATCCGAAGGTGGTTAATCTAATAAAACATTATGATATTATAACGTAACGAATGGAAACGAACTACTTACCATCCACAGAAAACCAGTCCTGTTCATTAATGACACACACCATGCTTCTTTTACGATATTCAAATGCAACAGAGTTGGAAACTACAATGCCCTGGCAAGCCACTTGTAGAGTCACCATGCCAGATTCATGAGCTACAAAATGAATATTTTCTGTTACATAAATAACATTTTCTATCAAAAGGTGTAATACCATTCTGTTGGTGTTCAACATACAACTTTATAAAGAGCACTGTAACACCACTTTGTTGGTGTTCAACATACAACTTTATAAAGAGCACTGTAACACCACTCTGTTGGTGTTCAACATACAACTTTATAAAGAGCACTGTAACACCACTCTGTTGGTGTTCAACATACAACTTTATAAAGAGCACTGTAACACCACTCTGTTGGTGTTCAACATACAACTTTATAAAGAGCACTGTAACACCACTCTGTTGGTGTACAACACTCAACTTTATAAAGAGCACTGTAACACCATTCTGTTGGTGTACAACACTGAACTTTATAAAGAGCACTGTAACACCACTCTGTTGGTGATCAACATACAACTTTATAAAGAGCACTGTAACACCACTCTGTTGGTGTTCAACATACAACTTTATAAAGAGCACTGTAACACCACTCTGTTGGTGTACAACACTCAACTTTATAAAGAGCACTGTAACACCATTCTGGTGTTATACACTCAACTTTATAAAGAGCTCAGTAACATGATATATTAATTACTAAGTTTTCATGAACTGTATTGCTTTCAATATAACCTAAAAATATTTTAAATTCTCCATACCAAGGATTACTCTGGGGCAGGAAATATTAGGGGAAGAATTAACTTGGACTTAGATGGATCTTGGCTAATGAACAGAAATGCAGTGACTATAGTTAGTTCTTAACTATCCTGACATGCTAAAAAGAGAAAAATACTAAATAATTAGAATTCAAATGTTATGAAAGTAGTAAAAATTATGATATATTTAAACCAGTAAACAATAAGGTCATAATTGTTCAAGACAGAAGTCAAGGTTTTTTTAAGTATATACACCCAAAAGTTTGGTACACCAGCCAAGAAATTAATGACATTATCTTCACCTGGGCAAAAGCAGCGGAGAACTCCATTTTGTACCAAGGTTGTGGGGGCACTAACACCATCAAATATGGCTGTATATATGGAAGTTCCTGAATTCCATGGTCCTGTGATCAGCACTTTCACTCCACCCTTATAATGATTAAAATGGCAGTAAAATATTTTGTAGTTTTACATAAGTTAATTCTTCCTATCACTAACAGTAAAATATTTTGTAGTTTTACATAAGTTAATTCTTCCTAACACTAACAGTAAAATATTTTGTAGTTTTACATAAGTTAATTCTTCCTAATCACTAACAGTAAAATATTTTGTAGTTTTACATAAGTTAATTCTTCCTATCACTAACAGTAAAATACAAGAATTGAAACTACCAAATACTACCATTAAAATCCTTCAAAAAAATAAGCTGCAATCGAGTTCAGAGGCGATAATTTTGTCACTGTTTTAAAATGCATAATTTTTCAATTGGTATTACATGACACTGATAAGAATGTAATATTTAGTAAGGAACATTGAGCGAGATAGATTAAAGGTCAAGGTGAAAGGACACACTCTTAATTGATGAAGTTGGATGATGTTCAAATTGTTAATGTCATCCTTATTCAAAACCTCATCTCCAAACAACCTCATAAGGAGGAAGCTCATTTCTAAATGTCCTATCATGTTCTTAAGACTAACACAAAACAATGAAAACTCTCTGTAAGATATTTGTCACAGAAT